GCGGTTTGTTTGTCTGTTAACCCCTCGTCATATATAGCGTAGCATCAGCATATTAATACAATTAAACTAATATCTCTTTGTTTGTTTGTATATTAATATTTCTCTTATACAGGATGGGCGTAGTGTCTAAGGGCTGCTTAGAACTTTATAAAGACTACGGTGCTCCTCAAGCAAAGCCTGTTATAACTCTAATGGCGAACCGTTGTAGCGCAACAGCGAGCAGAGAAAGGCGAGAGATAAGGATTATTCATACTGTATGTTCTTATAGAATATTATATTGTATTAAAATAATCTATTATCTTATTATTATGCATTTGTTTTTCTTTGTTATTTAAATAATCTATTATCTTATTATTATGCATTTGCTTTTCTTTGTTATCCTCAACTTCTTGCTTCTCGTCTCTCTCTCTTCTTCTCTTTATTACCTGGAGTTTATTCATTATTTATCTGTCTATTTATTTATTTATTTATTTATTTATTTTATTTTATTTTATTTGTTTGTTGCAATCATTCATATTACCGCTGCAGAGATGAAGGCGCTGCTGCAGGCATTCCAACAAACAAAACATAATAAATAATTAGTTAATTAAATAAATTAAATAAATTAAATAAATTAAATAAATAAATAAATAAATAAGCGGGTAGACAGAAGCGATTAAAGAGAAGATAAAGATAAGCAGCGTTTTTATTTTTATTTGTTTTGCTGCTTTTGTTTACAGAGCCCCTCAGGTAAAAGAGAGAGAATTACTCTTGATTGCGCGAGTTTGGCGGAGTTCGACAGGCGAGTTTAATATCCTTACACACAACTAAACCCTAAACCCTAAACCCTAAACCCTCGCCTAGATTTGCTGCTTCTTCATCCCTCAACAGCAACACCCTCAAGCAGAAAATACATCAAGACAGCTCCAGCTGCAGCAGCAACAGCAGCAGCAGCAGCAGCCTAAATGCTGCAGCACTAATTTCACTAGGGTTTAGGGTTTAGGGTTTAGGGTTTAGGGTTTAGGGTTTAGGGTTTAGGGTTTATCTATGCAGATGGAATGTGGCGCTGCACTTTGGAAATTTCCTGAAGGGCGACGACATCGAAGGCTCGGGGTCTCAGGCCTACGCAAATTTATCAAAGTCAGCAGCACAACCCCACCGCTATAAACACACAAACTCTGCATATAATATATAATATTATATATATAATATTATATATATTATATTATATATAGATAATATTATATATGTTTAGGTATAAATATAAATAAACAAACTGCAGCAGAATTCGAGTTCAATACAAAACAAAATTCAAATATTAGTTATATCCGAGTATTGCACATATATCTGTCTATATATCTATATCTATATCTATATCTATATCTATATCTATATCTATATCTATATGTTTATCTATATCTATATATCTGTATCAATATATCTATATCTATATTATCTATATGCACATATCTTTATGTATATATGTATATATCTGTATCTATATCTATAATTTCTATATTTCAATAATCTATACCTATATCTATATATCTATATATGTACATATAAATATATATATATATATATTTATATTTAAAGTAAGCATGCAGAGGCGTCTGTACAACGCGCTGCAGCGGAGAGCGACAAGAAATGCGGCTATAAAAAAATAGAGTAAATTATTACGTTGGGGTTTAATGAAGAAGATGAACAGATATTTTTTTGTGTTTTGTTTGTCTCAACAGATACGTCTTCCCTATTAATATGTTTGAAGATGCATCGGGCAGAAAGTCTGCACTTCTCATCGAAAACAGAATGATTATGCTGTTCCCCAGTCCCGATGTAAGAACAGAGGGTTTAGGGTTTAGGGTTTAGGGTTTAGGGTTTAGGGTTTAGGGTTTAGGGTTTAGGGTTTGAGGGAGAAGGGCTCCTTAGCCACCGTCTCTGAAGATGCAAGAGAAGGTCTAGGGTTTAGAGTTTATTAAGGGTTTAGACTTTAGGGTTTGGGGTTTAGGGTTTATGGTTTAGGGTTTACGGTTTTTACGACATAGGGTGTAGGGTGTAGGGTTTAGGGTTTAGGCTTTGGAGTTTAGGGTTTAGGGTCTAGGGTTTAGGGTTTAGGGTTTAGGGTTTAGGGTTTGTACTGCGTACAGGCGACGGATCCCATTTTGTGTTTCTCCGCTAACGAATGCGAAGTGCAGCCCGTCATTGCTCAGAGGAAACTTCGGGTGTATGTAAACGTAAGCATTTCACATTAGGGTTTAGGGTTTAGGGTCTAGGGTTTAGGGTTTAGGGTTTAGCCCGTGAAGTTGAATTTTGATAAAAGGAGGAGTAACAAGAATACGAAGTCTATTTATTTATAAATGAGCCATTAACACTTTATAATATATATATATATATATATAGGTATATAGATATTGATATATATTATATATATTATTTTTAATGCCTCAGTAGTAGAAGTATTTCCTTTACTATTGTTGTTTATTATTATTGTTATTATTATTGCTGTTGTTGCCTCTATTTATTATTATTATTATTATTATTATTATTATTATTTATTATTATTATTATTATTATTATTATTA